GAAATGCCTGTCATTCTAGTCTTCTAAAAGCATACTGCTTCCAATGTCATATCAATTACTGCTATATTCTCTCTCAAGTAAATGTTTGTTTACAAAAATAATAAAAGGTAATAAATGAAAATAATACACAACAAAAAATACATAGGACTATCCTGCTACATTGTTGCATATGCTTAGATTTCTAAATTTTTGTGTAAAAATTTAGAACACTTTCTTTCTATTTTTTATTATTTTTTAAATTTTTTTCACATTCTTTAGGGATTATAGTTTAGCATATCAATGATTGTTGGAAATTACCAACAGAGTGAAAAGACAACCCAGAATGTTATATCTAAATTGCTTGATATTCAGACAGATACTGATGTTAAGCTAAATAGCCTATATTTTAAGGTAATAATATCATTAAGCTTCTCTTCTGGAGGTTTAACAACTTAAGCTTGCAGACCAAAAAATTAGAGAAAATGAAGAGATACAAGGAGAGTCAACATTGTGGCCCTAGTCCTTCAGGTCAGTGAGGACTCAGGACAAAAAAGAACCTATGCTGTAACATGCTGTAAGGCAGTGATGTTCCAAATTTTCTGATCAAGGAGATTATGGAGCCACAGAGGTAAGTGATCAGTGTTATAGATTGTGCCTCAGGAGAGTTACATAAAGAGGAACCATTTTCTCAAGCTTTCTCAGAGAGTAAATTGGTCAAGCAATGGCCGTGGCTGAACCAGGTGGCTGGCACTGACAAAAGATCTACAAACCACTGTACTGGGTTTCAGGGTAAAGCCTGAAGAGATTCAACTGACCTTGTCAGATACAAAGCTTACATTTTTTGTTACATAGGCCTAGCTTTATCTTGGACTTAACCATCCAGCATAAAAGTATAAACACGTGGTATTAAATTTAAAGGCATATTAATATGCTCAGCTAAAAAGGCTCTAGTCAACAACTTCTGACATTGCCAGTCCTGTGGGTAACCACTACTATTATCAACTCTTGGACTATATTGGATTATTATGCTTGATTCATGCACCTACAATATTTGAATGGCAATGGAATACCCATTTCTTACAAAAGAAAAAAAAAGGTGATATAAATGATGGACCATTTTGTAGTG